AAAAAAAATATAACAGCCAAAAATTATTAACACAAACATTTAACACGCAATATAATTTATACTTATTACTTATATATTCACTATTCAGAGACTTCCTACTTAATTATTAGACCAATTGAATATTTTAGACTAGCAAAATAATTAAAAAATAATTCAAAGTAAAGTAGAGCAGGTATAAGCATTTAAGTTTAAATTTTTTATAGTATTTATAATGTATAGTGCAATGTAATAATTAATTGTACTAAATAAAATCCTCACAAAAATTAAATTTCACCAAAAAATATTGATTTCTATATTTGAAGAAAATACATATAGATACGTTCTAGAAACTATATAAGCTTATCAGTTGAAGCCCGTTTTTGATTGCATACCTATACTTATATAATATATAATATATATATATATATAAATTATTTATGCACACGTATATGCATGTGTATATAATACCAGCTTATTGACGATCTTGTCTTTATTCATAAGATTTTATCGAAGCTCTCGAGCTGTAACTTTAATCTATGTGTGTAGTCAAGTGTCTATATCGTGTTCGAGGTTTTAAAATCACGTGACACTGCAATATACGCAAGAATTAAGGACACGAGACGACCGCAGCGATAAAACAAAATCCACTTGTTAGTTCTTTCCCGATCATTATTATTATCCCTTTGTATTGTATATAGCTAATTTAATGTGTTTTTTTTACTCTATTTATTACATCCATAATTATAGGCATGGTAGACGTATCTTTTGCTGGTTGCGGGAAGGCATCTGATGCTATAAGACTCTGATTCAGTGAAGTGATACGAGAATTACCTACAATTGAACATCAGTTTAAATATAATTTAAAAAAACAGGAATAATAAAATCATTAAAAACAACCACATGAAATAAGTAATAATAATAATATAATTCATGCAAATAATTTTGAATTATACTGTTACATAATTATTTATATCATAATATATCATATTTAACTATTATATTTTTATTTTTATTTTGAATTATAGTTTGTTTTTACAAATTCAATCATTTGTATTGCATATTTAAAAATATTATACATTGTCTTCTTATTTTATGTTATAATATTAAGAGAATGATCATATGTTGCTGTTAAATAAGTAATAATAAATACATAAATATAAAATCTATATTTTATTTGAATGAATATAAAAATTAAAAATTAAAACCGTTGTCTTTGAAATAGTAGTGACCTCTATAATTATACTATAATCAATTTCTTGTGAAAACTGAATCTGAACAATCAAATTTTTATTTGTGGCTACTTAATTATCTAATAATTATAGAGTTTTAACCATCTTGTAATATTTTAACGAATGGCCATTGCGTTAATGTTTTAAATCATCACAAAAAAAAAAAAAAAAAAATGTAAACGTGAAATTTATATTATTTTATTTGACCCAGACTAGTAATATTAAATACTATTGATTACAGATTTTTTTTTTGTTTCCAAAAATTAAATAAATATCTATTATTACTTCATAGATGTATTAAATCATTTGCTACTTAAAATAAAATTTGCAATGGTTTTGGTATAATAATGAATCCATTAGACTTATTATATTATTATATATAATCGCCTTTTGTGTTTCAAGCTTGATTTTTTTCTATGAATTAGAAAAAGAGAGTTTTACAGTTAAAATAAGTTAATTTGTTTATGAACAATTTTAATTGCTTATTGTTAAATTGGGGGGCCGGAGTGGCGCAGTGGTCACGCAGTTGATTATGACTCACACAGTCATCGGTTTGATTCACAGCAAATTGCAAAAAAAAATTGTGTGATTTTATGCGATCACCAAATCCTCACGCTGTCATCCGATTGCGTCATCCGGTTTCCAACTAGGTCCCACTCCACTGGGAGTGAAGACTGAAGACCATATATGTTTAGACCATATATACATAAATAAAATAGATCACATGATCTCCCTACTTACCCACTTGTGATGATAAACATTGACGAAGATCTAGGGGTCGTTTCAATGAACAAATACAAAAAAAAAATTGTTAAATTGAATTTTTAAGCTATTATTAAATGATKACTTATGGATTATTCGCTATCAATGTTTTCTATCTGTTATCAATACATTAATTCTAATCATTTATAACTGAATACATTTAAAAGATTAAGATATATTATTTTTCATAGTTTCATTAAAATATTTTAAATTAGTATAATATGTTGACCGATAAAAACGCTTGAAGCACTGCACAAACGATTTTCTGCACATATATATTATGGTGGCGTATTTGAGGGTGGAAACTAGGTAAGGCTTAAAAGGCTCCCTTCAAAATAAAAAGTTCACTACACTATTTACGGTTCGATTATATAACTATTATATAGGTATAATATGAGGCTCAATATGTAATAATTAATAATAATAATACTTTTTCATCAACTACACTTATATTTACATACAAATTAATTGGTATCTCAATAAAAAAATACATTTTATACGGATAGAATGAAAAATAAAAATTAAATGTTGTTTAAAATCAACTATTACAAATTAAATCAATTTCATTACATCAAGTAGTTGTGAGATTGTTTTATTATTATTATTGTGATATTATTTTATTAGGAATTATTAATTTTTTTTTTTTACTCACACGTTACAGCCACTACCACGAGTTAGAATCAGACTGTGAAACACGACTTTATATTATCGTACATATTATGCTGTATAATACTAAGGCACTATATAGGATGTATATACTATACATCTATATAGTGCTCTAATAATACCTTAGTAAGTATTATAAACAATTATAACAATCACGGAATATTTAAAAAATATTTGGAATGATCAACATAGTGATTAAATATTGTCCAAATGTCCACCCTTCACTAGTCACACGAACTATCTCAAAAATATGTAAACAAAAAATGTAGAGTATTATTACGTCGGTATGTATTTACATATTCTGTTGCACAACCTTTTGAATTCTATTCAGATATATTATTTTTATTAAAAATATATGGTGAAATTTGGTCGGTATAGTGTATTTTAAACATCATAAATGACATCTAAATAATATACAGAATACAGTTCATAATTACAGCGTAACACTGTACCCAAAAGTCAAAATCATTTCTAGTTGAATAGGTTACATTTACGCTATATTACGCGCCTAGTGATATATGATTCAATCAGATGAAAACGGTGATAATATTGTTTACATTATACATTACTTGGGTATAACTAAAAAACAGTGGCGTTTTTATGTGTTAGTCTGAGTATAGGTCTTAGAGGGTGAAATCCCAGGTAATTTATTTTATTCCTATACAATCTTATACTGTTGAACTTATACAGGAAAAAAAAATTACAAATACATGATTAAATAATGACAAAAAAGAAGAATATTTGGTATCATGATGTATGGTTTGTTGTATATATAGATATTGAGTTGACATTTTCAATCTCTTTGTTACATGCGGGTGACTTAGCTTCGATATAATGTGATCAGTTAGAATATACCTGTGTATATATAATGGTAAATCATGGTGCTAATAATCTATTCAATTTTTAACCTCTCAAAAAGAGTCAAAATTACTTTGAAAATTAAATTATAAATAGAAAAAATGGTTTAATGTAAATATACTGTGAAATTTTAAAGTTGCTATGTTTATTAGTTTTTAGTTACACCAAAAAAAATTAAATCAATTTTTAGTTTTTTTTTCTCTACGTATTTATCCTAAAGCTTATATGCATTTTTACCTGTTTAAAATACTATAAGATAGATCCAATTTCCCACCATAATATCAAAATTGATAATTGAAGAATTATTTCGATTACTTATAAACGATTACACATATATCATTGTAAAATTGAAAAGTAGCTTTTTCAGTTGGCTGGTAGTTTATAATATATATAAATTAAATTAATAAAAATGTATGTGACTAATATAAATTATATGAAGAAGCATTAAAATATATTATAAATTTATTTGAATACTTTCAATCAAATGCTTAACTAGACTGATGATGAATGAAGTTCTTTGACACTCGTCAAGTACAGCCTGCACTTGATTCACACTTGTAGTATCTGTGTATTATATTGTTGGTGGATTACAAATATCTCACCGACTCTCATAATGAACGAGCTCAAAAAGTATGAAATAAAATGATTTAAGTTCATGACATTTTGTGTGAGTTAGTTACTTCTGAAATTTACCCACATTTTTGGTAATCATAACCATAATTTTGAAGTTTCTTTTGCTTCAAAGTTTGTGTATTGTTATAACAAATACCAAAACATTTTTTTGTTGAAAGGAACTTTTTTTATACGCTCACTTTGTGGGCTACAAACTGCAAAGAGTGCAAAGGGCTTATATAATGTAAATAAAGAAAAATTTAATTATTAATTATACTTAGTAGTAGTTCCAATATAAGTGCTACATTTTTATTTTCTAATTATTACATGAGTCTTTTTTAAAATTAAAATTAATTATAAGTGAATACATTTATTAGAGTTCTTGAGACTTAAGGAAAGCAAGTCAATATTACACGAAGAAAAAAGAAATTAAGTTAATTTATTAGTTAATTGAACGGAATAAGTAAGTGAGAGAAAATTAACGGTTAAATTAATTTAGATCAATTTAATGCTTTCAAACTATTTCATCTATGTTTAGCTGTATCGAATGCATAGAAATGGCAGCTGCTGGTTAGGTGGTCACCGGAAAGTTGGTTAGAGGAAAAAATATATGACTCAAATGCACAACGCTCATAATATTGTACACGACTTGAACGGTAATTTTATTCATAAAATATAAAACTATATACAGTGAAACCTCTAAATACCGGGCACTTTGGGTCGCTTAAATGTCGTCCACTATTTGGAGGTATCCGCTGTTAAGAGGAAAATACAGTGAGTACACATTTTTCCGTTCCCAAAATTCCGTCCGTTATTTGGAGGTGTTCGTTATTGGGAAGTGCCCGTTAAAGGAGGTTTCACTGTATAATATATAAATTATTATTATAATAATATTGTGTATGGCATTTTTGAAATGCCGTATAAAATATTATATTATAGACACAATCGTAAAATACTAAAAAATATGAAAGGTTTATAAACAACGTAACGAGTACAAGTAATATTATATAATTTACATAATAATATATGAGAACGTCATTTACAACTGTATTCTTCGGTCCGTTCCACGCACGTGTCGCATTTGACGTAACAACACCAATAGAACGTGCACCGACACTGTTTGGTCCTAGTGAATTGGTGCGTGTTGTACCCTCGTCCGCAACACATCAGGTCGCAGCCGTCCGTGCCTATCAAATTCGGAAGAGATAGTTACAATGTGTACAAAGCAAAAATAGTATAACAATAATCGATTCAGCGATGGATTGATTAAACTCAGTGCGACGAGAGAATTGTATAAGTACACGATGCATGAGAATAAGGATCGATGTTAAACTATATTAATTTTTTTCGAAATACTACAATACCAAATGTTTATGATATTAATAGTTGGTCACATGTGTTTCAGATTCCTTTTGCCAACTGTTGTAAAAATTGCTAAAACAAGATTATGATATTTTATAAATAACATAAATTTCCTCTTAAAAGTGACATAATATGGGCTTTGTCTCGTAAAGCCTCAGATATATTAAGTGCAAATATAAAATAGTATACACAGTAGAAAAACGGAACAAAGTAATCGTATTTACTTTTTATCGACCGGAAATAATTTTCGGTACTTATGTACATGGAAAGATCGGTCAGCATTGCTTCGATATTTTAATTAGAAAACATTTCCGTCGACGAATATATGCGTAATAAAATTGATTAAAATTATTATGAAAAATATTACTGCCGGTGAATACTTGTCGCACGATGCCAACGCCAATCGATTCACTAGGTAGTGGGTAAGTAATAATAGTATGCTTACAATATATAGGTAATAATATAGGTCATGCACTGTGATTAATTGTTTTGTCAAATAGCAACAAAAAAAAGGAGCTGAACGATTGTTTATATGATATTATCCTAATAAACTCACCCTCAGAAGTCCGGTTACAGGAACGGCCGTATGTGCCCAACGACCCTGTGCCAAAGTCCCGGTCGCAGTAGTTAGGTGACTGTTCCAGGTAGACGAGCTCGGTGATCTTCGGCTCCTCCTCGTCCACCAACCCCGCCGCCGCTGACCTGGCCGACCTGAGTCTGAGCCTCAAACGTCTTGACGACCGTTTTCCAGAAGCTCTCTGTGGATTACCACCGCCGACAGCGACCGCAGTCCCCGCGGCCTGGACACTGCGCGCCTTCCGGTACTTTCGCATGAGAGCCTTGCCGACTTCCCGGAAGTGCGGCAAACTGTGCCAGCACGTTTTCATCGTGCAACTCCCTGACACCCCGTGACACTTGCAGTCGGTGTTCAACAGCATCTTGACAATCTGCAAACAAATGATATGTCAGGAGACCATCATCATGTTAATATTTGATATACATATATTATATTATAATATAAACTCTTGGTAGACGGATGTATAACAATTATTATGACACGATTTAACGATTAATCATTTTAAATTTCTCCGATTAAATTTTAAATTAAAACTATAATGTTTCATTAAAACTGCATAAAAATATTATATAACATATAATAATATGTTTTTAATGCAAGTCCTAACTCTTATAAGAACCTAGCAGAGTAGGTGACTATTGTGAATTTTAGATACATATTACATTTTTTTGACATACATAATTATATGAATAAAAATGAGTTTAAGTTGACTGATAGAATTTACAACCGTAAAATTACTTTAATTTTTTTAACTCGTCACATTGCCTTTGAGGTGGAACATTTATATTTTCCTACAAAGAGTATAATTATTTATAATGTAGTGAATAATAAAATAAAAGATTCCATAGCTAAAATAAAAATGTATTATATTTTAAAAATAAATTACTAAGCTGAAAAATGTTGGCAATTCTAATAAAATGACTACAAAGTAAAAAAATATGTAAACTCCAATGTTTATATTTAGTTTCAAAAATTATTTTTAATTCTTTTTTAATATCATAGTAGGTATGTTTTAATTTAAATAATGCGCAGATTATAGTTTATACAGTTATTAAAAATACTTACTATTGATAAATGTTTATGAATAATTTAATAATACAAGAAAAACGGGACTTACATAAAAACGTATCTTTAGACACTCATTCGTGTGAGTGTTTCACCTAGCTTGATAACTTAATTGAATAATGAATTAATTATAAATTTTGATTTTTGAATTTAACTGTACTAAAAAACTATATTTTCAGTTCCATGGCATACAGAATCATATTGTTTTAGTATTAATTTATTACAATTTAATAATTTGTAAAAGTCATCTTAGTATAATAATAACTAGATAAATAATTATTACATTTTTCTTATATTTTATGTAAAATTATTATTAGGTCTATTTTCTTAAGAATATAAAGTTCAATAGCTCAGAAACTTTTCGTTTGAATTTAGATATGTATACTATACACGTATACTATACATTGTATAGTCTATATACATTATACGTCAACATAAAAACAATTTAACAAGCTATTAAAAAAGGGTTCTGTCTTAATAAAAAAAAAACAATAAGCTTTAAAAAATAATGCAATTTTGATTTAACTCTTGAAAAACCTATTGTCATAATATAAATATTATTTTTCATATTGCTTTTGAAATGTTAAAAATGGAAAACAAATCATTTTTTTCATGATATATTATATATGTAATAAAATTATTAAAATTAAAATTATGTAACAATGGATTTCTAAATAAACAAAAGTTTCACTGTTCCAAAAAATCCTGTATAATACAAACGTATGTACTCGTAATTATTTAAATAATCCAATATTTTCTAAATTTAATAATAAGAATAACCAACAAATTTAAACGAATTTCGTATGTACTAATTGGTTGCTGAAAATCCTAGTACCTTCATTTATAAAATTTATTTACAATCAAAAATATTACTTATATTTCAAATTTAACTCTTTATAATGACCTTCGTATTTGAACATAAGAAGACGAAGCAGCACATAATGATTTACTATTTTCTATACCTACACGCTTTCAAAAACAAATCCGAATCCATCCTAACCCTCTCGTACAATTTTTTAGTGGGTAAGTACTATGATAAAATATATATATTATTATACGTTTAATAATTGGTCAATTGGATAATTATAATCGCGATCTGTGGGTACTATACAATTATAAATTATTATTTACATTATTATACCATGATATTATAATATACAGGCATGCTTTGCGCGTACAGTGTAACAATGAATTTTTTATTCTATACCTTTGCATTTTCGTAAGTATTATAATATTAATAATAACGTCGTCGTTTGTAAAATAACCTTGGTGACTTGGCATATGCCCCAGCACACGGAAAGTTTAATAATAATTTTAACTCAGCTAAGTTTATTTTAGATTTGGTGTTCGTCAACACTTTATAGAATTAAAATTAACTCAATATCTTACTTCCACAATTCTGCCTATATCATGTATAATGGAGAGCCATAAGGTTTATTGGGGAGTATTATTTTACTATTTTTGATCAAGTATATACTATGTGGTACCCCAATAAATTAAAATAAATGTAGGTATTCTTGGCAAACGAAAATTGTTATTATAATTTCTATATTGAACTCATTATTGATTTTAATAAATACATGTATGATACTGTATAGTATAGTGGTATACACTTATTGTTTCAACTAAAATATTTGAATATTATGTTTTATAGTAATACCTTGGAACGGTTAAATCAATTTGCCAACTAGTCATAACTTATAATACTCCAACTTGGCTACGACGTAAAATATCATTATTATTATTTTCTATGTCTTCATAATCGTGTGATTTAACATTATATCTGAACTGTGTAATATTATGAGCGTATATATAGAATTGAGTGCTAACACCATATTATAGGTACAAACCAAGAAACCTAACCTATACGTTTATCATCAAAGTTATTTAATTCAGTGCGTACGGATTAATAATGCATTCCGATTTTGAGTATTATTCGTTGTTATACACGTTATAACAGTATGTACTTTCGTCCTCACACATATTACATACATTTAAAAATTAATTCTGATTTTCAGAACAAAATACATTTTATAGTTATTAAATAAGACGTATAACAACATTCATAAGCTTTGTGTCTTAACAACACGTCTTGATACACTAATCTACGACACTGGTGTACCCGAATTGCCTAAACAGAACGCCGTGTGACCATAATCGTAATACCATTGACATGCATAACCAGCTAAAATGTTCTTGGATATTCTGTGTAATAGAGAATCGTTCCTTATTTGCCAAATTCAAAAAAAAAAAAATTTCCTCTAACTTAATAAAACAGATAATTTCTTTTGATTATATGGTTTTCTTTGAAATTAAAAAATAATAAACTAAAACTCTACATTTTTATTGAGAAAATCTATTTTCCAAATTCGAATATTGTTTATTTGTGTTGATATTTTATTAGTATTCTTCAAATTTTTGAAGATAGGTGTGATATATATAATTCCAGTCGTATATATAGTTAGTTTATAACTTATACGCTATATAATGTCCAATAAATATAAACAAGTAGATGATAGTCAGGAATATATTAGCTTAGACCTGGGAATAAGAGTTAAAATAATATAATTAAAATATTCAGCATAATTTAATACTTCTTAATAGAAAAATGGTTAAAACGAAACTATATTATTTTCATTGTGGTTAGATCACAAAATAGGTTAGGCTTTGAAAATCTTAAACSCCTTCTATTAGTAATATATAAGGCACACTAATATACTAATATACATGCACTCTAATAATTTGTTAACTACCTCGGGGTTATTAAACAGACCACAGCCAATAGTGATCCATTGTTATTTTGTAATGTAAGAACGCGCGTTATTATACTATTGTTATTGTTATTATTATTATTGTTGTTATTATTATACCTTTCTGCCGGCTTTGTTGTTGTGCAAGTTCATCAGACTCCGGGAATCGCCAGCGTCCGATTCCTGGGCGTCCAGGAACTTTCGAGCGAACCCCATGCCGAAACCTAAGTCAACGCTGCATCCRCCCCACTTCCACGCTGATGCCGCCGGTCCGTCCTCCAGGGCGCTTGGGTAGTGTGCATCGCATCCGCAAATGGATATGTTGCCTCTACTGCACGCATCCATTAACGCATACGTCACACCGGCGCTGATCACAGCGTACATGTAAGCCGCTTCTCTACTAGCTGTGAACAAACAACACAAATCTAGTTTAATAATATCATAGGATTGGCGGTAGAAAAAATCCACGTGGTCGAGTAAGCATCACTACGCTATGAAGTGAAACTTCTTCGATAGTTTTTAGTGATATCTAGCTTTTCTGAAAATGAACTATCTCGCAGAAAAGTTGACCTGCATGAACTGATGAGATTTTAGGTTCAAGTTTGTATTTTGTGTGAGTATTCTTACTTATTCTGTTTGTTTTATTTACTCTCATGTCATTAAAAATTAATTTTAGACATTATGTTTTTTTTTAAGTTTTAAGTTAAAATCAACTTATCATCGTAAATATTTAATGTTGTAAATGTACCAGTAAATGTATAAAAATATTTTTTAAATATTATTATAACCAATAATCGTTTCAACTTGAACAATAATTATAAATTCAATTGACTTATACTATAAGTCTTATAGTATACAGTGTATGCATTTGCGTACCGAGAGAGTTATAMATTTAAAATTCACCTGAGAATGAGTATTCAGGTTCATACAATCACCTCCACAAACTCTATTTCAATCAAAGGTCATCCAGATGAAATAATTAGTGTTACCTCATATCGTGAACATACTGTATAATATTAAAATAAAGCTCTCACTAATCACTATAAAGGTACTATAATAACCATATATATATAATTTATTTATATTTTTCGTTGTCATGGACATAAAATCGTGTCGTGAACATAATTTAGTTACACATTTATTTTTTGGCGTTGTACCCAGGGGTGGACTGAGGCCCTGAAGGCCCAGGTGGGTATAAGTTTTAAAACTACCAGATAAGAGACTCGTGTTACAATGTTTATTTTAAATAAAATCAYTTTTTAAGGAACTTATAACAAAATGAAAAAAATCTGTAGGTTTATWCTCAACTAAATTTAACATAATAAAATAAAWCAAATTACTTCAATATTAAAATGTTTAAACTTTATTATACAAATAAAATGAATAAAAATTTTTTTTATAAAACCAAGTTCCACATAATAAAAAAACAAGTTACTTCAATATTAAAATGTTAAATCTTTTTCAGGTAGAAATAAAAAAATGTATTGTTTTTAATTTAAACACTATTTTTAATACTAATTACTAATATTGTTTTAAAAAATTAATAAATTACACATATTCCAAAAATGAATCTAAAATAACTTTCATAGCCTTCGCGGCTGCAGTCTGACTGTTCCAGTTACTTAATTTTTGTAAATAGTACCTATTGTAATATTGTAGTCTTCGTTTTCGTGGTAATGATTACTGTGTGGAATTGAAAAATTATTAAACATAATAAATATAGCTCAAGGCCCAAACATAAAATGTCTAGAGGGCCTGGGTGGGTATGGCCACTTACCCGTCCTGCCAGTCCGCCCCTGGTTGTACCCTTCATTAAGAATTTTCATATCAATATGCTGATTCGTTACTAAAATACTATTATTTATTAATGATAAATAAGGAATTCATTTTATTTAGCTCAAGCAGTGAGTGTAACAATGCCAGTTACGCCTATAATATAACGATGGTTGAGAAATTGTCTTTTATATTATTTTTCCACATTATTATTTGGTTCCCTTACTATTATATATAGGAGACATTCACCTAAAAGTTTTAGTAAATTTTACTTCGAACTATGCCGTATTTAATTTGACTACTAGATTAATTGTATAGTATTAGAAAGTTCAACGGAATACGTTATGTATAGTATAACAGTACGTAACTAGAACACCACGATGACGGCGTTCGAACGACAATAATTGATAATTCCCAAAAAAGTTAGTCGACAGATCTACACAGATTGTGCCTAAAATTTAAATAGTTCAATATCAGAGTATAGATCTACCCTATCGCAGTGGAGTTGGTTGAACTTCTTCAGCTGAATCAAGGATGTTATACTGGAATTATTTTCACTATGAAACAGTYCACCTTCGAGGATATTATAAAAGTTTGTACCGGATTTCAGTTCACTTTTACCCAATGAATGTAGAGTTACACTTTTCCATAATCGACGGTTGGCTATATCATTAGCAATAGATTGTCAACTATAAACAATAATTTATAATACCTAAGTTTAATTCCAAATCTATTTTAAGTAACCATGATCGGTATATTAAGTACAATTTATTTTTGATATATTTGTTATGGTCAATAAATASAAACCAAAGAACAATGATGGGAAAATGTAATGCACACGTTCTCGATAGACATTTTGTAAGTCTTATATAAAATTAGAATTCTAAGTTCCGGTGGTAAAGGTGTGACTAATTATGTAGATAGTACGAATAAGTACGAGTTATTTGTTATAAGTTAGGTGTAAATAAGTGTAGGTATTATTTGTCAACTATTCATAAAATATTATAAATTAAGCTTTTTGTATTATAAACTTTTAACATTGCCAAAACACAGGTTTGCACTTAAAAATAAAATATCCTGTTCGTAGTTGTTTACACATATAATGAATATCATCGTCTGACAAACGAGGAAAAAGTTTTATTTTTTAATTTTCGATTAAACATCGGCCTACTTTTTTGCAATATTTACATTTTGAAATAGAATTTTCGTTAATTATTGTAAATAACAAAAATACAATTTATTTATATTTTCATTTATGTAATTTTTACTCACTTAATACGTATTCATAATGTTATGATGAATTTTTTTTGTACTAGGCTTTTTTTTTTAACTTAAATATGTTTGGTTTCTCACATGTAACAAACATTCGTATRGWGTTAATATTACTAGTCGATCGGTTGATCAGAATACAACATCTTTAAAAATAATATAAATATATAAGTAGGTATTAGAATTAATATCGTGGACCGTGGTATTTTAAATCGTAAATGGAATATTAGTAAACTTAAAAATATATCACTACAATATTACCTATAAAATTAGTAATCACCTGKCGTTTCGGACTTATGAAATTGAAATATATATTTCATTAAAATACTAAATATTTTATGCAGGCACGTTGAATAATGTTTGAATATTCTAGTTACCTAACAATGAGTATCGCATTCATATATTATCATAGTACATAAATCATTTTTCGTTTGATGTTTGTAATAAAAAAGTTCATCGTTATCATAGTCTGTATTAATTGATAATACAATGTTCAAAAATCTTATAAGGCACTGTTTCCAAGGAAACTGCACACTAACAGTGGAGATTTTTAAAACAAAATTTTAAAATATATTTACTTAGATATTAGTTTTTGAAATTTACATGCACTTGGGAAATAAACCTAAGGGTAAAAAATTATACCGCTCCTATTTACAAAACAAAACATTCATCGGAGTAAAATTATAATTTCTTATATCAGGATATGGGTACTATGTATTTACATACAATTCAGTGAAACATATGTTTCACTATTTTTGATTTCAACTCTCAAAGACCAATTCATATTCAAAACGCATGGCAGAATGCTAGAAACAGAATAAACAATTTATAATTATAATTCAAGAACTAAGAAAATTAAGTTTGAAATAAATGTTAAAACCGAATTTTTTGTCAACTATATTTTTATGTTCATATACAATGTCAAAGTTTTGAAGTTACGATTAAGCCTATGGATTATAACGAAAAATGTTTAAAACTTTTGATCATGAAGTTTCGGCGATAGTTGTGTTAACAAATATGCAAACAATATTTTAAACAAATATTGTTTTTCTTCCAAAGAAAACTGTCTCTTTAATCACTTTCTCAGAGGTTAGGTACCCGAATTAACATAAATCTRTAACAGCCTTAAAAGCTTTATGAAAAATCCATATAATAATCTGAACATCTATTTTWACATCACCTGAATTAACCAAAACCCAGATAATTTTTTATCTTACAATTTTCATGTGATCATTTTGAATTTATCGATTTCCTAATTAGTTGTTTGACAGTAATTTTTATCAGGAATATTTTTTCAATCAGTGGTTGGAATGGGATTTAATCTGGCTTCATATCTGTACCCATATCAACCCAAATATTATCAGTTATGGGTACTCAAACATTTGTTTTGATTTTTGATTTACCTGAATATACTGATGACCAGAAACCTGATATTGAAATAAATTATTAGGGTGTAAAGGATCGCTTTCTCAATTTATATTTATTGCATTTTTCGTTGATCTTTCATCACTGTCCGTGACRTATACGTACATACTACAATTTAGTAATTACAAATATTATGTTTTTATATTTATTATGTATGCCTAATCGTTTTCCGTAGAGTTAAAATAATAAACTATAATGAACTTACTGAATAAATTTGGTTTCTAAAATTATTAGCTTGTTTTATTCTGTAATCAACATTGCTCTTCAATAATTTTGATTATATTTTAAGACAAACCMGAAAATCTTTCAACAGGTTTCATCATATATTAATACCAATTACCAACCGTTATAGGCTGTCACAACGAAAACAACAATAATTGATCATCAATATCAGTATAGGATATTTAAGTTACCCCTGTTTAAGAACTATAATAAAAATAAACGCAGTATATTGTACATATATTACCTGTATTCATCACATATAGTAATATTATATAATGCAATGTAGTACTGTAGTAGCACTATGATATAATATTAGCTATTTATTTTACATATGTTATGATAGTATATAATAGAATCGTATAATAATGATAATATGACATTTCGTGCCGTAATTTGCTTGATGGATGTCAATCAATGAATAAATTACAGGTTATTACGTGTCTTAAATAGAATRAAACTACGCTATCTGCGTTCTTCGATTTAAATTGGATTACGTGGCACGATATTGTTATCGTCGTATCTTAAAGTTTTAAGACAAACACGTGTCCTGGTTAAAAAATGTACACAAAATATTTAAGATATAATAATAATTTACATTTGAATATGTAGGTATAAATTGTATAAAAAAAAACACAGAATATTATATAAAGTAGAAAAAATTATTATATACGGATACGTCAAGGCAAAGAAACAACATAATAATATGGAATTAATTTTTCAGAACGATGAAACTCGATCCGGATTTTTTATGCTGTTTGCACGTGACTTTATAAATTTACTATATTATACCATTACCTAAAGTTTTTGCCAGAACGGTATCGGATGTACACGTATAATATTATTTAGGCGTGTCAAGCGATGCGAGAGTATTAATTGYTAACGGCATCACGGTCCAGTGATATGAAAGATGTCCAAGTTGGAGAAACTCATGACTTTCATCGTTAAATAAAGATTAAATCGTTAGTAAAGCTCAAAGAGTTTAATTTTAAGTTTACACTATATCATACAATGAGTAAGTACAATGTTGTTGTTTATAATATTTTTATCAGCTTCAATAGCATTATTAGACATTATAACTATAGGTATATTTAAACAATTAATTGACAACTATACTATACTATATAGTTTTATTTCTATATAATTTTCATATGTTTAAGCATTAAAAGGGGTGATTTCCACCATCTATAGGCTCTAGATTCAACAAGTTTCAYGTCACGCCACTGTCGCGGTCGTTTAGCTGTTTTCCACAGTCGGGTTGGAAATAATTAGAAATAATCAGACTGTGCGCCTAATAATAATATATATATATAGGTACTTACAATGATCAACGAGGATCATATTATTATTGCTGTTAATACGATATATAAAACACGATTATTATTTATGAGCCGTTGTTCAGAAATTTTAAGGCGTAATCACATCTACCTAATTATAATATAAAGAGTTAAACATCTCATAATAGATTGCGTATACACAGTGGCGCAACTAGAAAATATATGAGAGAACATGCTAAAAAAAATATTTCAGGAGGGTGAAGTATAATACCCTCTTGCTGCTCCGTTGCTTATAGGACCTATATAAGGTATTACTGACATTACTCAATAATTTGAACAATCAAATTTCCATAGGACCGGATGTAATATTAGTTCGTCATCCACCATTATTCATTAGAGACTTCGTAGTCTGCGTGGTACATAATTTCGAGATCATCAAACGTCCGCTTACTTTTGATACCGTTAGCCTCAAAATTTATGATTAGAAACAAAAYCTGCAAGATACATCAGGTGCACATTATAGGTGAGGTATACATCGCGTGACGAGAAGTCTGTTTGCCGAGAGCTCGAATAAAAATTTAAAATCACATTCATCTAGCAATTAATTATGCACAAAAAACTTATTGCGGTCACAGCATTACCATAAAATGTTTTGTAATACATTATTATTATTATTATTATTATTATTATTATAGATATATTTTATACTTTCTTATTCAGTTATACATACATATATATATATATATATATAACACAATGACACGGGTTGCCAGACTAGGAATGAGTTGATTTATGGACGCCAAATACTTCTAAAATATATTCAATGTACCTAATAAATACGTACAATGTAATTTCGGGGGTGG